AGCACATGGTCTTTGTGTAGCTACACTAATTATCTTGCTCTTTTGATGATATGAGCTGCACATATGGAATACTTTGCTGGTATGGTAATAATGACTTAGCTTTATCTGGCAGCAAGCTCCAAATACTAGCCTAGCCTCAGTTTATTTAGTCATGACCTCACAGAGCTATCCTAAAGAGACATGGAATAAAATTTTAAAAAAACCCTCCCAGCTTCCTTTGCTTGAACCTAAGAAAGTTTCGGAGCTTACTTTCAGTGTATCCAAATTACTTTAAGTAGCCAAAACACAACTTATTTGTATCAAAACTCCACAGTTGCCAAAGAAATACAGGGAACTAGGAAAGAACCAGTACCTACTAGCTTACAAGCACAGTGACAACCAATCTATTGCATAGATTCCTTAGCTTTTCTAATAAGGACAAATGAAATCCATTTTTCAGGTTTATTTAAAATTCTTAGCACTTAACCACTACCTTAAATCTTGTTCTCAGTTTATGTTCCTTTCCACTAGTTTGACCTAGGTGGGGATTTTTTCTACCACAAAAGTTGCAAGGCTCAATTAACTTGTAATTCATGCCCTATCACTCCAGTTTTAGAGTAATTCTTTGTTAATTTAGGTATTTATATATACCATACATATGTTACGCTTAGGTACTATATATACACATTATACATATATGACTGTCAGCATACACAACCTTAAAGATTATAAAAAGTTTTTAAGGCATGCTACAGTTTAGAACAACATTCATATCACTTCCATCTTATCAAAACTTGAAGTTGCACTCCATCAACAGCTTCATCTTGGGCAAATAAAAAATGCAAAGTCAACATATAAAGTATATAAATGATAACATTTTCAAATATTGTCTATATATGAACACGCTGTCCTACTGCCACTCAGCTTCAGTAAACATGGAGTACCTCCTTAGTCCATCTTCAGCATTTTTCTTTTTCTCTAGTCCTTAGCTTGTTTTGACAGATGAATAATGATCGCCTATAACATTTCATAAGTCAAGACTGATTATTCCAAAATAAAGTAGCTCCCTTGAGATTCTGATCTAGGTACCCAGCCTACCACTGTTAGCTACAGAGTTGTCAAGCATAAGTATCTGTGCTGTGAATACAGAGATACAAATTTAAGTCAACAAGGTAGCACATGTTGAAATTTGAATTAAGAAACTGTATAATGTTATATTCCTGTAGACTTATAAACTCAAAGCACTCAGATGAAGAAATGACATCATATTATACCCACAAATGTAAGTCAGCTCTTTACATGTTACAGTATTTTCTTCATCACTGGGACCTTTCCTTAATTATCATATTAACTGGTACTTTCAAAGTTAACTGGACTACACAGTCAAATTGTTGTTTGGAGATGCTAACGTTTTTGCTGCATTAAGTGGAAGAGAAGTACTTGCTGAAGAGCATTTAAATCACAAATTACAGACTAGTCCTCTCAGCTTACAGGACTGGGGACAAATAAGTACAGGATGGAGCTTCGGAAAAAAAATATAACAGACAAGGAACATCTTCCATGTAACACCCATAATCTCTTATAAATGTTCACTTTCAACAAATTCAGGAGTTATTACTGTCCAGCACTTTAAAATTATAGACTTTTATTTCAAAGTCTATAAAAACTGTTGGTGGAGTCTTGAGCTCATTACCTTAGGACATTGGGGTGTGAGGAGGAAGAAGATGATGAATCTGACTTTAGAAGTCATACAGTAAAACACAAGCTCCCCCCCCCCATACAACATTCTCCCCCCATCTCCTCAGAGGCTAATATAAAACCCACTCAGACCCTAAGCTTACGCCTTTGGAACATGCAATAACTTGGACCTGAAGCTTAGATCTTTGGAACATGCAATAACTAGATGTAAACAAAACATCTACGTTGGTTATCGGAAGAGTAGAAATATTGCTGTTCTTTATTGTGGAAGCAGCCTTTAAACAAATAATTTATTTTCATGGGCACTCAAACTGGGATGATTTTTTCAGTTCAGATTCAGCTATTGTCTTGTTCTAGTAAACCCTGATCTACCACTAACTCTAAAACACAACCAGTTCATATAAAGGGGGCTGTTCTTGGGATTTGCTGGAGGAGCTAAAACAGGGTGAGGTAAAAGCCACCTCTCCCATGGTTACTAGAGCCTTACCTTCACCTCCCAAGTGAAGGCAGGAAGATATGAAGCAACGTATATCATGTTGGTGGGCCTAGGTTCAGGTACAAAGAACAGCACTTGCAGCTTTGGCTATCACAGGGTGTGATGTGTGTGTGGCAGGAATGAAATGGTCTGTGGTCTCCTGGGTATTTTAGGCCATATATGATAGACAGGATTTCTTTTTTTATGTTGAACTTGAATCAGATATATGGTATAAAAATAATGGTTCAGCTTCTCATTAAGGGGGAAAAACCACCCAATTCAAACCACTAAAGTTTGAAGCATTCCTGGTTTAGGCTGGAGTTTGTATCAGGTCCCTGTTGAAAATTTGGGGAAATTAATATATTTTTAAGAAGGGTGCTGATCAAATTTTATAACCTTGTGCAAACACAATCAACATTGTTTATCTAAAGAAGATAAATATTTACTTCTGCAACTTAAAAGCCAAGTCCAGACCACAACTTTAAGTCCAAAAGTAAACACAAAGCAGTCTTAAAGAACATTCATGGAACACCATATATTTATGAATTTCTTTTCCCAGTACTCTGAAGAAGTTTCTCCTCATACTTTACAGAGGTGCCAAAGAGAATGAATTAAGTAGACAAACAAGACAAAGTCATTCACATACCTATTTTCTTAGCAGGGAAAAAACAGAATTTCTGGTTTTGAACAAAGTTTACTTTGGTAAATATTTTAGGAAGGGTTTATGTAAGTTTAATAACAGCTATTTGTTAATATCAATTATTATATTAAAAAATTCTTAAGATATAATCAGTAACAGTGTATCTTATATAGAGGATTTTAAATCCAGTGAAAGTTATTAACTATTGACAGTCCATAAGAACATTCAGCACAACACGTTATGGCTACAAGGACAACCTACATTTAAGCACCAATTCAGAAACTGTAGTGCAACTACAACTGACACTGACATATTCTCCAGCAATACTACAACGGATAACTAATTATTTTTCATATTCTTTAAATTAAAAAGAAAAACCATTCCACATTAAAAACACCTTGTGCAACCCCTTGTTATATTGCAAAAGCACCAAGAAACAATTTTGCTTACTTAACACTCGGAACTGAATTTCATAGAAACGCCTATGTTGCATAATGCTCTAATAAGAAAAACTTTATAGAGGATGCCTGGCACAAAGACAAGTTAAATCCATTGTGAACTTTTTACTTTAAGAGTACAAGATGTATTTTTATAAGTAGTATGCAAAAATAACTACTCAGAAAATGAGTTTTATTAGTGTGTGACCACACTAATACCTGGAAAATTTAATCATCAGACACACATCTGAAAAAGTTCATAGATCAAATAAAAAAACCCCAACTTGTATAACCTTTTTGTTACATTAAAAAGTACCCTGGAAGTTAAAAGAACGAGAAAGATAATAAAGCCTAAGATGATCGCTTTCTGTTTGCTACAGCTTCAACTTCAGCTACACCTCTATTTTCATTATACTTCTTCCACTTTGAATAGATGTTAAAAAAAAAAATCAAAACTATCAATCACTACTATAGAGGGGGGAAAAAGACGGCATAATACTCTTTCATAAATATTAGAATATTTTCATAAATATGTGAAACAAATCCCCTTTATTCAACATTTTCCACTAATCTGTCACCACCTAATATACCCCTATACCAAGTAGAAAGAATTTACTCAGTAACATCTCTGCTATTGGCACCAAATCCCTGCTTATTCAGAGCTGGAAGCTTATGCTTTTCCTTACACCTGGACAGGACAGGAAGTCAGAAGATACAACTCTCCACTATATGCCTTGGGTCCCACGGTAATCCACACTCGTTTTTCAGCATGAGATGGAGCAGGAGAAAAAGCCATTTCTTGCCAAAGCTAGCTAAAGCTCCCCTCTCCAAACACAGGATGAAGACCTGGCTCCACTTTGGTTCACAGAATTTTTTCAGAACAGCTCAGTCTTTAAGGTTCCCTGATGCTTTGCCAGGAAACATCTGCCACCTCATTAACTCCCACAGCTCTCATTGTCCAGGGTTATACTCAGAGGGGTGGTGGGGAAGTCCCAGATTCTCACATTCATTTCTCTGGTTTTTTTTTTGTTTGGTTTTTTTTATGCCAATGAGCGTATATCCACAAAAAAACCCCAACACTCTCCCAAACATACTCCAGCCTTCCATACATATTTACACATTCACGCACGCTTTCTACAACCCTTTACTCGTAGACAGGTACCCATCAATTTGCTCATATACCCTGTACCATTAGTCTTTTACTACACACATACAAACAAAAGTGAGCGAACGCATTGACACCTTCAGCTCCTTTACTCCTGCAGGCATACTGGACAGATACCGGGCTCGCACACCAGTCCTCCCAACACGTAACACACAGATCCCTCTCGTTTCCCTGGACATACCAGCCCCACACCCAAGCCCCCCAAGCACACACACACGCCTCATATCCATGCTCACAGAGCGAGCGTGTATGCACCCCCCCAGACACACACGCGTGCACACAGACCCGGGAACGCAAACCCCAGCCCTCCCTACGGGTGACACGCAGGGAGACCACCCCCAGCCCTGCACACCGGCCCCACACCCACGCCCTCCATTGTGTACCGGGGGGGTGTCTCGCTCTCCAGTCACGGAGCGGCTTCCCCCGTCTCCCACGCCGACGGCACT